ATTTTTTTGTTTATGTACTAAAATTTTATCATGTATATATATATATATATATATATATATATATATATATATATATATATATAAAATCAGTTTAAATTTTCTTCCAATACTCTGTCTCTAAGTATATTCTTTAATGCAGTCAAAACTTTTTAAAGGGATAGAGAAAACATATTCGAGCTTGCTATGAAGACAATGAGTATGCATTGCCCCTAAGCATAACCTTTGCTATGTTTTTTTAATGATGTTTCCAGTCCAGCAGTTATAGAGGAGTTTGAAATATAATTCAAGGACAAACCTTCCTAGTGTGGTTCAATGAGACCAAGTCGCTATCGCATAAACTTAGGGAATAGGGGTGGCCTGTGGGAGTGTTCTTCTACATGACCATCACAACCAAGGTCATGGCCAAGTATAATCTCAGCTCCCATCCAATAAACACCCCATTTATTTACAAGAAAGGATTCAACTTTGAATCCACACTGCATGACACTGCCAACCCTCCTCAGTGTCCTTTAATCTCAGGGTATCTACTGTCCTTGACTTTCACGACCTTGGTAACTGAGAATTACCGATCATTTTTCATTATGTGCTTGCTATGGTTCCGATGAGTCCCTGCTTTGGGATGTGGGCATTCAGTCTAACATGTGCTTCCGCCATAACGTACAACTTTCAGAAAAGGGCCAGACTGATGGGTTTGCACAGTCTTGGACTTGAGTCTCCAGAACTGTGAGTCAAAAGTTTTGATTTCCTAAGCATCCCTCATTAGGTGGCAAGGCAAAGCACTTGTGAATGCAATCCCTCTGCCTGGACTCCCCCATCCACTGATCCTCATGAGTCTGGCTATGTCTCTCTTTCAAGAGCATGATACCAATAGCATTCGAACTGCTCCCTGCCCATCAGTGACAATGCCTTATCACTGGGACCTTCCTGTTACCACAGGGTTCCGCCGTCAATTTTGTCCTTTGTAACTAGGAAGCATGTAGGGGAGAGAGGCTGTATGAAGCTATACCCATGCCCGGCTCCTCACCCAACTTTAAGCTTGCTTGCTTGCTTTTCAGTTCCCAACTGAGGCACATTTCTCCACCCCCCCCATCACCACCACCATAAGCTACCTGGTAGTAACTACAGGCACTGCTTACTACTGTGACCACTAAAAGAATCTAAAACTTTTTATATGATTTTCATTAAATATTTATTCAGACAACAATGGTCTAAATCACTGAAAATGTCTCCTGGAATGCCAGGGCCCAGATCTACAGCTTGAGGTTTACATGGCCATGACCAGTCAAACATGAAAGGTACCAAACATGCTTACCCAGGTTCTCCTGGAACTAAAATTCTTCCCTCACATACCTCTTGATGGTTTATAATCCGGAAACTGAGTCAGTATAGACACAGTAATTGCTTTCTCCTCTTGAATCATTTGGTCTATGCCTTTATTAAGTCCTAATGGGGGACAGGCTCTGGGGACAGGACAAGTGCATCTTGTGATAAGAACCTTCTTCTCCTACCTCTCAACCTGGCTCCCTCCTCATTGGTCTCAGATGCTGACCCATACCCAGCCCCTGGCCACCAGATGCTCTCTTACTGTAAGGCTGTCCTCTTAGCCATGCCTGCCCACACTCTGCCCTGAATGTTCCTGCTGCAGTCCCATAGAATGATTTCCGAGGAACTGCTGTCAAGGAAAGAGATCAAATTGGATCAGAGCATGCCTATGGTTTGTAAGAGGAATCATCATGGTGGCCCCATGTGATATTTGAGATCGCAGATGCTGTAGAAAACCTCACACATTTTTTTTTTTTTCTGGTAAGAGCTCAGATTTTCTTGTCTACTATATAAAGTAGTCCTCTGTTTCAGAGGTTTAGAAGTCTGACATAACAAAAATCTCCAAAAACTCCCTTGCACCAGACAAGTCTCACAGATGAATCTGTTAAGATTATGTTCTGCTTCGTGTTGAGAGAACATAACAAATGGCAGGGATTCTGCTGTGCAGCAGCCTCTCCAGCACATAGACAAACAGTCCTGAGGTCCCTTGGGAGCCCAAGCTTGGTCCTCACCTTGTATGGGCTAAATGTTTGTCTTCTCCCACGTATGTGTTGAGGCACTAATCCCCAAAAGTAGGTAGGGCCTTTAGCACTTAGGCCGTGAGGGTGAAGCCTCCCTGAGTGGGATTGGTGCCTTTTGACAAAGGAGCACAAGATAGATGACGTCCCCCCATTCCTGCTGCCATTTCTAGCCAGTGAGGACCAGACAAGATTGTGACCCTCTGTAAACCGAGAGAGGAGATCTCATGAGGCACCAAATCTGTTGGCACCTGATCCATCAACATGTCAGCTTACAGAGCTGTGAAGAGTTTAAGCCACCCAGCCTATAGTGTATTTATTTTAATAACCCAAACTACGAAGACATCCATCACGATATCAGCTGACTAACTGAGGCTGGCCATCACACCTCTGTTCCTCCTAGCAAGAGGGAAGAGAAAAGCAAGTCTTCATTCTAGACACTTGTGAGAATGTGTACACGGTCTAACCATTCATAGGGATTTCATATACAGGCTATCTACTAAGGAAGAGCTGGAAATGCAGCCTGTATTCCAAGCAATCGCTAATTAGCAAGAAAAAAAAAAAAAAAAGGAGAGGTTTTACTACCAAGAAAGAGCAAACTAAATCTAGCAGCTAAATAGCAGTCTCTCATGCTGACATCTGAATGTCACAAGAATCAATTCTGATTACAAAAGAAAACTGATAATTTTCCTTCTTCGTTAATTTTTCCTAAGATATCAACAAGTTAACTAATTAGAAAGGGGAAAAAAAAAACCAATCTGTTCTTCTTAATGATGGGCTAAGTTGACAGTGACAGATTTAATTGGGAGAAGCCAACTCTTTTCAATCATTTCATCTGGTTCTTCCAGCCATCACTTAGCAGGCAAGAAGGCAGCAGAGCTGAAAAGTTGAGCTGTCTCTTTAATCATAAGTTGTTGTTCCCCTTGACCGCACCGCTAGGATGTATTTTCCTTTCTCACTATTGTTACAGGGCTCCAAGCCAAAGTAGGGGAGAGAGGGGGAAATTAGAGCAGGAAAGAAAAAGTTTATAAAAGAGCTTTGAGGAAAATGTTTAGGGCAACAAAGGGCTGCAGGCTGAGTCTGCAGGGAAGGCAGTTAAGTCGGACAGGATCAAGAGAAACCCGCCAAGCCTATGGCAGGGACAGACCAAGTGACAGGGACGTATTTAGCCAACCAGCCACTCCCTATCACTTGGGAAAGGTGGGTTCATTGTGACTCTAATATGACAACTGTGCAGCTAAAAGAGAAGAAAAGGTTTACCACAATAGAATGGGTTATTTCAGACTACAAAAGCCACCCTGTTAAACATGCCAAAGAAATGGAAACAGGCTGTACCCCCTGACCTGCTCCTGGTACCTCGCTGACCATAATCACACCCGGGAAGGTTTTCTGCTGTGTTAATAATACACTCTAAGGGTGGGCTCTGCTATTCATAAGCTCCACCCGAATACTGGGGACAAATTGCTAGCAAAATTCCAAAAGCAATATTCAAGTGTGATTGCCCTGGTATTCCAAAAGCAATCTTCAAGTGCGATTGCCCTGGTATTTGCAGAATCTGTATCAAAATTCAACTAAAAGAATGAAAATGTA